ATAGAAATTATCACAACTGCTTCAGCTACCAGTGCTGTGACGATAGACATGTTCAAGAAAAGCATCGATAGAGCTCAAGACGGGTTTGGTATGCCTGGCTGGCTTGTAAACCTCTGACAAATTATAGGTCCTGTGGAAATGACCAGCTTGATGGAAAAACTAGCTAGGTACTCTCTTCGGATTCTTGTTTTATGTTCCTATTTACTTTAATATAGTTATTGAGAATTGAGAATCTGTTGGTTTTGTTGCTTTCATTTATTTCTGGTAGAATATTGGCAGTGAAACTGGAATTCATGATAGTGGAAGAGTAGTAACAGTAATGTGGCGATGGTGAAGTTGATTATGGCGCCATTGTGCTGATGGTATTAACTGCAACTGTAGATTATAAGTGGGATATACAAGGCCTTATTTTGACAATGTCGAATGTTGTCACAGTGACCAGCCTATGGATCCACCACAAGACCACTACGGTACTGAAGGCCCAGTATCAGCTGCGTGCAATAAGTAATGAGTTCGGGCGTGAGGATAGCAGTTTAGCTCGGCCTCAAAAGGATCTATCCTTCATGGAGGTGAACTCCATTTTCACCTTCGATTGCTGCCTTGTCGATGTTTAAATCTTTGGCCGGTGCCAAGAGCTAACCGTTCTCAGAAGAACCAGTAGGACCTGGCCCTGAATTTCTTCACGTCAGAATTAGGCATAAAGATGCTCGAATTATTAGGTCGTCAATAAAATGGCGAGGAGTGAACTTCTTCCTTTGTGCAATCCAATGCAAGCCCAATACCCTCCCAAGTCGCTGGCTCTGAAAATTGTCACCCGCAACATGCCACCGACCCAGAAGTGTGGCTTAACTGGTGCTGTTGGTTTGAACTTTGAAACCCACCCTTATCAAATCACGGAGAAATTACCATATACGTTGCTGCGGGGGAGGGTCATGCATCCCTCAAAAAATTACTATAGCTCCTTGTTTCTAAATTTCTAGTTCCCAAGTCAATTGAGCAACAATTTTCCTTCCACTGCCGACAACGTCATTATCTGGAATTTTTATTCACTCCGCGTTCGAAACATTTGGCTTGATATCGTTCATCAGGTAAAAACAAATTGTCTGTACAGGGAAAACTTCCCGCCCTATACTGCGGTGTGGAAAAGAAAAAAAAAAAAAACATAACATGATTGCATTAAGACGCATAAAACTTTTTCATATTATAATTAAAGCTAATATAATGGATTTAATTTGAGCACTAACAACTTAATCCTATGCTTAAATCAAGTTTTAAATTCAATATCATATAATAATGGCATCTACATAATCTTGTTTACTTGAAAGATTTAAGAAAACAAAAAATCAATTGAATAAAAAATAATACAATTATATTAACTCATAATTATTAAACATGTAAATAGAGTTATGAATTTTATTAAATTAAATTTTATTTTTATTTTATTTTATTGAATGATTAAAAAATTTCTACATCAACACAGAAATAAAATAAAATTGAAAAAATTAAATAAAAACTCTAAAAAAAAATACATAAAAAAACCAAAGAATCCCATTGGTGTGGAAGTATGGCTATTAGCACTTGGGCCTCATTCAGGGCCGCCTGTCTGAACTATGGAGCTCATCAATATCCAATACAAATGGAATTCCCACCATTATGTGAATCTTAAAACCAGCTCACCCAAGGAGTTATAATAATCATAACGTTCATTGATTTCCATCTCACCCGAAAAAGTTACAGTAACACACACCACAAAAATCATAACACAGCGAGAGTGAAAATTAAACCATATTGAATAGCAAGATTGACAGATAAAATATATAAACGTTTTAGAATCTAAGAAACAGAGTACGAGCAGAGAATATGTCTATAATTCCTACCCTAACTACAATCCTTCTAACAAACAAGTGGTTTTCCTTAAAAGGATTAGTGGGTTATCTTCAATTAACAGCAAAAAGATTCCAAGAAAGATGCTGTAATTCACAGATCTCACAACTACCGGGTATACAAAACAAGTTAAATAATAATACAAGCCACCTGTTAAGGCTCTAGGCGACCACCTTTCTTTACAGTTCTCGCACAGTAGCCAGTCAAGCACATGCTTCCCTTCTTGGTGCAATATCCATTAAGATTCCCTCAAGATCAGGAGGCTGAAAGTATCCTTCCTTAGGAGGGACCCTTCTTTGCTTAACATAAAAGGGTTTCTTCTTTGGTGGTGGCGGGCACACCAAAGGTGCCGGTATCTGATATTCGCTGCGTCTTGGCGTCCTGCATCCTTCATCAACTTCCATTATTGATTAGTTCAGACGAGTTTGAAATTCTGACGGAAGTGAAACTTTGTTTAAATGGCTGTTTGTGGTCTGAATCTAGACTTGCTGCCTGGTTACTGCAGTTATGGGTAAGTATGCTGCCCGTCATTTATAGGAGGCTAAAGCATCGCGCCAGCTTGCTAAAGAAGGTGTGCTGTTTGACTTATTCCATCGTGTGGTGGAAGCAACTACAGGTTGCTAGAAGCTTGCGTGGAATCCAAGAAGTCCCCAACCTGTTACTTGCATGCCAATTATTTTGTCCTTAAGCTAAACATGTACATGTTTTCAATAATTTCGAATTCCAAGAGCAGAATTTACAAGGTAATTACTTCTTTAATTGTAAGATGAGCTCACTAACCTGGCTTTGATGAAAAGGAAAGTAGATTTAAGTGTTTTTTTATTTTAAATATATATTTTTTTATCATATTATTATATTATTACATAAAAATTTTATTCTGTATCGTGGTTTAACCATGTTTTTTAAAAATAATTTTTTTATATTTTTAAATTATTTTGATATATTAATTTTTAAAATAAATAAATATATATTATTTTAATGTATTTTAAAATAAAAATATTTTAAAAATTATCCTAAGTTTAGGTCTTTAAAACATTATGTTGAAAAGTATATATATTTTTTTATTTCAAAGGATATTGTTGGATCGGTCTTTTTCATTATATCGATTATTTTTTTATATATATAATATGAGTTAACATTTGGATTTTGATTATAAAGTTGCGAAGAAGATAGCATGCTCCTTGGTGATTGGTACAGACAACTTACATTGGACAGGGACCTCTTCATTTTTTTCATACGAGAAGGACAAAAAATATGATTTTAATCGTGATTTATGAATTGATATCAATTATTGCTTCCTTTTCTTATTATTTCTATGAAAAAAATATATTTTTAGCCTATTTTTCCATCGAACAATTTTAAATGTGCATCGTTCATATAAATTGAATGTATTTAGAAGGGTGATAATTCGTCATTTTAAGAATGTATTTTCTTGTTGTTGCATTAAAAAACAAACAAATCTATTAAGTATTGATCTCAAAATTGAATTATATATATATATATATATACACACACCTTGTTGATTAAACATTGATTTGTATTTTAAACTAGTGATGTTGAGGTCACGTGACGCAAAGCTTTTGTGCTTGCGTGGAAGACACGTGGAAATTGATTATTATTTTTTTGTAAGGGTGATGCACCCGTGGAGCTTTGGTGTCTAGAATGATGAACCTGTGTTCGGCGCGAGAAGGTTCAAGGAGCTGCTGGATTTAAATCTGGACCACGCGTTGATGGTAAAATATGTGGTAGGGACTGGGGTTATGGGCTTGCCAGGGCAAGTGGGGGCCTGGGCCCATTAGGTGAATTCATTATGGTGGTAAGAGGCAGGCGTGTACAACGAGCATTGAAATTTGATCGTGTCGTTTTCGTAAAAGACATCACCGGCACCGGCACTGCTCGGCTGGCAAGCCCACGTGCCACTGTAAAATGAGAGGGGCGCAAAAGCTGAACCAAACTTCTGCTGGAATCTGCTTTTTCTTTTTTTATTCCTTTAGATGGGGCGTAGGCTTGGATCTGATTTTGTAACCCACTGGGTTTGGAGAGCTGTGATTGCATGCAGTCAAGTGCTTGTACTAAGGCTCTGATGCTAATTACCCTACCGAGCATTTTGTTGGATTTATCTTCAGCTTGGCCCAGTTCGGACGTAGGTGGGCGGACGCCAGGGTTCCAGAGAGGCTTCGGCGTCATCGGTTGATTTGTAAATTCAAAACTTTTGAACTACTGTACACTTTGATTTTCATGATTTATTTGTTTTTACTTCAGTAATTGAATTGTTGCACGTTTGAGTTTGTATTTTTTTTCTATCAGATTTTATTAACAAGTCCATTAAAAATATATGTAAATTGCATGCGTAACAACAAAAATAATTTATAATTATAGATTTTATATCACTTTACTTTAAATGATTATAGATTAAAAATATATCTTTTTAAAATTTTGCAAAGAAAAATCTAATGAGGAAAAATGTAAGCAGAAAAAAAGATACAACATTCTCGTGTGATTTCTAAATATTTTATAAATCAATAAAAAATTTTATATATGTACTTCATGACTCATATTTGAATATTTTTAGATTTATAAAAATATAAAATTATCTTATTAAAACCTTGTAAATAAAAATTTAATGAGAAAAAACTTAAGCAAATAAAAAAATTACAATTTATATTAACTTTACCTCAAAAATACATGTATCATGATAAAATATTTAAAATAATACATTCTAATATTATGGATAAATTTCTTGAAAATTGAGGCGAATAAAAACTTTGTATATGAATATACTAAATTATTTATGGATTTACTTGATATTATTTTTTATAACTATTGAAGCTCATGAGTATATTTTTTTTTTTAATGAGATATGATTTATTTTGTCTCCTTTAAAATAACATTTTTTAAGTTTAGTGATACAGACAATATTATTTTTAAATAATATTATAAGATTATCTTTAATAGTTGATAATTTAAATATATTATAAGGTAGTAGTGTTCATGATGAGTATAATGATGGCGTTGGTGGAGGACAACGTGGTTTAGTGATGAAATGTAGGTGGTGGAAATATTGGATAGAAAAAGGCTGAATTATACCCTCCAATAATTAGAAATACGAGACTTCCTTAATCAAAGAAAATGAGAAGACTCTTCTTTAATAGGATAATGCGCAGGAATTCAGTCGAGTAACAAATACAATTACGCATCAAAATTCTCACACCGTCTTCTACCAAGAGTTCTTTCTTGCTCCAATGGCCGTTGTACAGGCACAACAAGTTTAAACAATTGTTCAGCTGTAAAAACTCCAACAGTTTTAGAACCTGAGCTGTTAGTAGAACTATTTAAATTACTATATTTTACAACAACAACCATTCTATACATCTTTTCTAAAATTAGATCAACCACATGGCCAATAGACGTCGTGGTTGTAACACAAGGTGGGGGGCTTCTCATCATTGTCATCAGGGGGGCATTCAACTGCAAAATATTTAAAACATCATCATCATGCATCCAAATAAGCATCAAGTGAGATTTGATAAGGCTGGAATTTAACTTGGTGAGTCAACAGAGTTATAATCTGGAAGTCACTTAGAAGGAAGAACAAGAAAGTACCTCGGTGCAGTCTTCACGATGCAAAAGTCCCACACAGCTGCCCCAGTCATCTACAACAGGCAGAACTCGATTCCAAAAGAAGCGCATAACCACTTTCTTCAAGTGGAGGGTACCGAGTAAAGGCTTAGCTGCTTTTAGTGGCATCATGATGCTCTCGATAGGTTCCCTTGGTGATACCTGAACAGAGAGGTTGAACTCAAGATTGTCAGAGAGGTTCACGTGGTGATCTGTAGTTTGTAGATTGTCAAACATGACCTTAAGTTATCACAGGTGAAAAACTCTCAGTCGCATACTGGCATCTATCGTCCATAAACTGGTGTATTTAAGAGTCCAACAAGAACCAAATATTTGCTAACTAAGGGTATTCAATTGGGTTGCGTTCTTGGCAAGAGCCATTCATGTAAAAGAATCGCCCGTGGTGGATCCAGTCTCAACATGTAGCCATCTTGTGTTTTTTTCATTATCAGTCAATAGGAGATCCATACGTGCTTCAAGAATGCTGATAAATAAACTCACGTACCTGAGGAAGCAGATAAGGACTGAATATGGAATTGGTGAATCCCAACAAGGCCTCTATCCGCATAGCAACCTACATTCCACAGGTAAATTGAGGGTTGGGAACAACTTTAGTAAGAAATAAAAGCCATTACTTAAAAAGTCACATGTAACTTTGCATAATTTCAAAATCCAAAATTCTAGGCTAAGTTGAAAAGGCACTAAATAAGTTATGGAAATTTAGGTTCAATCAAGAAATGTCTGAAAGATGTTCTTAACACTGGTTTCCCAAAAGTCAACGTATCCACCAAACACTTGTAATGCTCTGAGCCAGTTGACAAGCAGTAAGAAATGACATTTCAGGTGACTCCAACATTGCATATTACAGAGCATCCAGTTAAACAGATTACTTTATATGAAACCTAAATCAGGGGCACATAGTCGCTATTCATTTCAATTATTCATGAAAAGTAAATTGCAATTACATACCATGCCTCCTCGACTTGTCCATGGTATCCGTTTCCATTTTAGTACAACATTTGTGAGATTTTCCAGAGCCACATCAACCTGACAAAAGGATAACACACAAACATTGTAATTTTCAGTAATTTCTCAATCACATCAGCTAATCACAGAGAGTAGTACTATTTGGAAACAAGAATAGCTTTATCATTTAAAGAAAATAAAAACACAAAGCAAGTACAATAGCACAGTTGTTTGTAGCACCTGGCCATCATTTAAAGCCGCCTCCATGAGAAGATGATCTGCTTCTTCTTGAAGAGCTAGAGAGATGGCTCCAGATGAATCTGGCCACAATCGCCTGTGCAGATTTTTTACCATATTGTAATCTCCTTGACTGGCAAAAGCACGCATAAGGGAAAGATAGAGATGAGGCTTTGGTCGAAGCTTTGGGTTCACACCAGCACGTTTTATTATTTCTCCAAATACACAGAGAGCACCTAGATGTATCACAGAAAATATCTCATGAGTGCTTATAAGACTTTTGCTCTATTTTTGTATCAAGAATAATTTAGAACCATTGCTGGTGTAACACCCCTAAATTTGCATTGACTATAATTGGTGATTTCTTTATAATAATGCAAGATTAGAGAAAATTAGGGGACAAAAGTCAAAGAACTAAAATAAAGAAGGTTCAAAATGCAATTACTAACTTAAGTAGGTGAAGTAGGATAAATTTTGCATGATTAAGTAGGTGAAGGAAAACAAGTTTTGGCATGTCATGCTTATCAGGTGTCAAAAGGAAGGTAGAGATGTGCTTTCCTTCAAAATTTTCAGAACCAGCTACACCCTTTTCTTGAACTTAAGAGAGAGCAAAACACCATCCTACAAACTAACACCACCAAACCATATATTCCAAGAACAAATTGTAAGGTATTAGTGCTTAAATTCATTAGAATTGTTAGAAAGAAAACCGAAGATAGATTGTGATGTTATAAAAGAAAGGAAAGAAAAGAAAGTAAAGGAAAAAGTAGGGGGTAAAGGGCTAAAGCGCTTATGGTGAGTGATTAAATTAATAAGTATGCATAAATCCTATTGTTTTTGGATGCTTTTATGTATGAAGAATTTCTTTAAATGCTTGCTGGATTTTCAGAATATATATGTATAACCTCAGTTTTCAATGGAAACTTCTTATGATGATTGCTAAATAAGAGTATGACCATGAAAGATTGAAAGTATTGTGTTTTTTTAAAGTAAAAGATATGTTTTAGCCCAAATATTGTGTTGATATAATTGCACATGATATGTGAAAAGAGGTAGCTTGCTTTACTTGAAATAGTGGCCACCTATATGCTACATATGCTACCATTGAGTAGTATATGGATATGAGATATGGACATTCAATTGTCATACATGTTTACTTGTGTAAATATTATGTCGATATGATGTTAGGCATATATATTGAAAACTTATGAAGTTTCCCATGCTTATTTCTTTAATCATTCACTGGGTTATCTCATTAGTAGTTGATAAATTATTTTCATGGAATCAAGATGAGGTTGAAAGAGGGCTCAAGAGATAGGCTACCAACCGAAGAGTCTTTGGAGTCCTAGCTTGAAGTTTAACTTAAGTGATGCTATGGTATCTTTCATAGGTTAGCTTTTGAGTATGGGTCATTACACATGTAAATGCATATTTAAACGTGCCATGCATGGACTCTTTTAGTGTGTAATTGACCAATAGGATAGCTATGTGCAAAGATGTAAGATATAAGTGAATGATCAAGACAAGAAAACAAGATCTCATATAAGCTTGTTTGATGGACAGCAGGTTGTGTATGCTTATAAATACATGTCTGGTTGGTAAATTAGGTAACAATAAGAAGCAATTAGAGAGGCTGGTTTACTTAACTAACTTAAAGCACAATTCTAAAGTGAATATAATCAAAGATACTAAGATGCATTACCAAAGTAATTCGGAGAGGGGGGTGACAGCTTGCGTCAGAAGTGAAAGAGGTATAAGTTCAACTACACTTTGTGTAGCCTTCACCCATTAAAATGAATCAGATGGGTACCATTCAGCATGAAAAAAAAAAAAACAGAAAGCACTTTTTTTAAAGAATACATGCATGCATATATGATTAAAAGCTTAAATATTACAAAATGCTGATATTAATTCAAATTTCAATTCCAATGCAGCTTTATAACCTAAATTGATAAGCACTGCAGAACCCTGAGTAAAAATCCAAATGTGGCATACCATTCATGGAACCACAGTTTAGCAATGCATCAACCATTGCTGTGAATGCAGTTCGATCAATAACTAAATTCCGATGCATTTTCATTTCACAGACAATCTTCAGAACTGACAGGAGATCCTTGGCACCACCAAAGCCCTGCAGGGGAAAGGAAAGCAATAAAACAGCTAAATACAAATTGTTTAACTGCAATCTCTGACTCACACACAAGAAGATCAAGAGGCCACTTCAGCAGTAAAAGAAGCACACCATTTTGTTAAATGGTTTTTGAACACTTTGGTAAATATTCTAAATTCTCAAATTCGAATTTCCACAAACTCCTCATCACAAAATAAAGTATATATGCACAATTCACTGACCTGAAGTAATGTTGTGTACGTGACAACATCCGGATAAAGCTTGTCACAACTAAAGTTTTGTGATTTGTCCTGAAAAAGATCAAGGGTTTAATAATTTAAGTAAACTAATGTAACTTCTTGTGCAACAACCTAATTTCTTGTATACAGAAGCTCTAAACTAGCCTTTCAAATGCATGCTTGTGACCTTCATTTCGTCAAAGAATTGCATTGCAGCATCCAATTTCCCAGCCTTCACACATGCAGATATCAGAGTGTTATAGGTGAACCTGTCAGGGGTTAATCCTAACTCCAATATTTCGTCATGCACAGGCAAGGCATCTTGAGGACAGCCAGCACTTATATATCCCTGAAAGGTCAAAGAGAAAGATGTTTAAAATGATAACAAATACTAGATTTTTGTTTCTCAATGAAATGCCATAAAACCCAAAAGTACAGATCAGTGCTCAACCTTCATTAATAAGTTATATACCAAGATGGAAGGATTGCAGCTTTCATGAAGCAAATAACCATAGCGAGCTAGAAGACCCTTAGCTCGGCGTATATCTCCTGCACTACAGCATTGCAAATGCAGCAATATAAATAAGCTCATGATTTTCAAAATATCAATTAAAAAAAAACCCCGTGCTTGTAGTGAGACCGCAATAAGCAAATAGATTTACTAATACAAGCAATGAAAAGGCAATTTGTCCAAGATATTTCAAATTTGGGCTCGATGTCTTGTCATGAAATGGTTATCCTAATCAAGCACAATCCAATCTATCCAGTTTATCAAGAAAAGCTCTTAAAAGTTTCAAGTGCTCCCCCTAAAGAACCTGGAAACAAAACAAAGCCCATAACTTCATCTCTTATTTTACAAACCTGCTGAAATTAGAGCATTTAAGAGACCAAATATCATCGGAGCCGACAACTTTGGACTTCCAACAGCTGTACCCATTTCCACTGATTCCAATATCTGGAATGCTTCATCAATTCTTCTAGCCACGCCCAAACCCTATCGAACAATAATTAAAGTAATAGTCAAACTAATATGAAATCAAAACAAAAGTTACGAAAACAGAACACCTCAATTCAAATTCAAGTACCTTTAACAGAGTCCCATAAGAGACACCATCAACCCCACAACTTTCTGACTTGCACATTTCATCAAACACAATAAGAGCAGAGTCGGTATCCCCGCAATGCACACAAGCTTCAATCACCGCATTCATAACTATCGTATTTAACTTCCCATACCTTCTCTTAGCACTCTCGACTTCCTCAAAAATCTGTTCCAATTTTCTTCTTCTAGTGAGCTGAACTATACGAAAGGTAAGGCGTTTGAGACTATGATGAGGCTTGTGAAACCTACGACGAGTGGGTGTAGAGGAATAAGAGAAGGTGATTTTGAAAGTGGGTAATGGGTTTGATGATGGGAACTTAGTAGAATAGAGGGAGAGAAGATGATTTTGCATGGCATTGCTGGTGATGTTAGTAGTGAAAAAACCCATTAATGATCAGCCATGGAAATGAAGGTGGAGCTTAGAGAGGGAGAGGAGAGGGAAACAAGGATAACGGATAATGCGTGGGCAAAGATGGAAATTAATGGCGGGTAAATAAGTGGAGGATGCTGAAGATGGTTAGGTTTGGAGTTGGACTATTCATCTTGTAGCTACCAGGCCCGTGACCTGGTTTTTGGGCCGGTACCGGGTCATGGACCGGGTCAATTTTATGAACTTCAGTTACCAAAAAAACCATAACCAACTTAAAACAATTACAGTCAAAGTCCTTCTTCTCTTCCTCTATTATCTTCCATCTTATATAAAAAAAACACGAGCTGGATCTGTTCGGGTCAGTCAATATTCTCTCTCTATCTCTCACTGAATTCCACACGCTCTCTCTCTTTCTTATAGTTGGATCTCACCGCATCATTATACGGTTCGTTTTGCCTCTCGAATTCTTTCTCGATCTGTTTGGATTCCGAGAAAGTGATTCCATTTTCTCAGTACCCAAAGTTATTGCTCTTTTATCGGTTTTGAATTATCATTACTATCATTTATGGCTCTAATTGATTGATTTTTAGGTTTCGATGTGCTCACAATATAAGACGACGACTTTTTGATTGATTATTGCTTTGTATTTAGGATTCTGATCTGAGTTTAGACTGAGCAGATCTGAAATGCGTTTTTTTATTAATTTCTAGATCTAATTTTGATTATTTTTGAGTAATTTAGTTGATTAGTTGTTATTGTTTAATGTTTTTGGTTTTGGTGTGAATTACAGATTTACTTACATTTATGTGTTAATTGTGCTGGATCTGTAATTTAGGTAAAAATTTGGTTAGTGATTTGTGTGTGAATTTTGATGGAAAGTTGTCAGAATGTGATGATTTGGGAACACTAGTGGAAAAGGTTGGAGTTTGTGAGAAGGTTGAATTTGTTTTGTTTTGTTAAATTAGTGATCACATTGATTAGTGTTTACGATTTGAAGAAGTAAAACGAGAATGCTGTTAGATTTTAATGCCTCGTGCTGATTTGATTTTGCTTCTAGTTGCAAATTTGGTGTCCTTCAAATTGGCATTATTATGTGAACGGAACGTGTTAAATCATGTGGTATCTGTAATGTAGGTAGAATAAGTTTGGTCACTGTGGTAATTCTAATTGAATTAGATGGAAATGGTAGGATGTTGTTAAGAATTTGAGTTGTGTCAATTGGCTTAATATTATGAAATAGAGAGGCTAAATGTATATATCATGATATTTGTGGTATTTTTTTTCAATCTTGGGCTTTTCTGAATAGAGATGAATTATTTGGAAGAGACAGGAAACTTTATTTATTTATTTATTTATTCAGTTTTTCTTACAATTTATTTTTCACAGTCGGTGCTCTTTTTGCCTTTTCTTGTCTGTTTATCTAATATTGATTTCAGTTAATATGTCTTTTTTGTATTACCAGGAAATAAAAAAGAGATGGAGAAGTCTTGTACATTTCTTGTGCACTTTGATAAAGGGACCCCAGCTATAGCTACAGAGATCAAAGAGGCGCTTGAAGGCAGTGATGTGTCAGCTAAGATCGATGCCATGAAGAAAGCAATTAGTCTTTTATTAAATGGGGAAACCTTACCACAACTGTTTATCACCATAGTCAGATATGTCCTGCCATCAGAAGACCACACAGTCCAGAAACTTTTACTGTTGTATCTGGAGATTATTGACAAGAAGGATGCCAAGGGGAGGGTGTTACCAGAGATGATTCTCATATGCCAAAACCTGAGGAACAATCTTCAGCACCCCAATGAATACATTCGTGGGGTGACATTGAGGTTTCTCTGTAGATTGAATGAGACAGAAATAATTGAACCACTTATCCCTTCAGTCCTTCAGAATCTAGAGCACCGACATCCATTCATTAGGAGGAATGCTATCTCAGCTGTGATGGCCATTTATAAGCTTCCTCATGGTGAGCAGCTTTTGATTGATGCTCCAGAAATGATTGAGAAGGTTCTGTCAACAGAGCTAGATCAGTCAGCTAAGAGGAATGCTTTTCTCATGCTCTTTAATTGTGATCAAGATCGGGCCACTAATTACCTCTTGACCAATGTTGATAAGGTCTCTGAATGGGGTGAACTGCTGCAGATGGTTGTCTTAGAGTTGATTCGGAAGGTGTGCAGAACAAATCGAGGAGAGAAGGGAAAATACATTAAGATCATTATATCATTGCTGAATGCCCCTTCTAATGCAGTTATTTATGAGTGTGCTAGTACACTTGTTTCTTTGTCATCTGCACCTACTGCTATTAGAGCTGCTGCAAGCACCTATTGCCAGCTTCTAATTTCTCAGAGTGACAATAATGTGAAGCTTATAGTTCTTGATCGTCTGAATGAGCTCAAGTCTTCTCACAGAGAGATCATGGTTGACAGGATTATGGATGTGCTTAGAGCGCTATCCAGCCCGAATCTAGACATTCAGAAAAAGACTCTAGATATTGCCCTTGATTTGATCACCCCAAGGAATATCAACGAGGTTGTTCTTATGTTGAAGAAGGAAGTTATGAAGACTCAAAATGGAGAGCTTGAGAAGAATGGTGAGTACAGGCAAATGCTCATCCAAGCCATCCATTCTTGTGCCATCAAGTTCCCAGAGGTGGCAAGCACAGTTGTTCATTTGTTGATGGATTTCCTGGGAGACAGTAATGTTGCTTCAGCTATTGATGTTGCAATATTTGTCCGGGAGATAATTGAGACAAATCCAAAACTGAGGGTTTCTATTATAACAAGACTGTTGGATACTTTCTACCAGATACGAGCTGCAAGGGTTTGCTCCTGTGCTCTTTGGATAATCGGTGAATATTGTCTGTCCCTTTCAGAAGTTGAAAGTGGCATTGCAACCATCAAGCAATGCCTGGGAGAATTACCATTTTATTCAGTTTCAGAAGAAGGGGAAGCACCTACTGATGCTTCTAAGAACTCTCAACAACCAAGTTCTGTTACAGTTTCTTCTAGAAGGCCTGCTATTCTTTCTGATGGGACCTACGCAACACAGAGTGCTGCTTCTGAAACTGCCTTTTCCCCTCCTACCATTGTTCAGGGGTCATTGGCTGCTGGGAACTTGAGATCCCTTCTTCTCACTGGTGATTTTTTCCTGGGAGCAGTTGTGGCCTGCACTTTGACAAAGCTTGTTCTGAGATTGGAAGAGGTGCAACCTTCTAAGGTTGAAGTAAACAAAGCATCCGCCCAGGCATTGTTGATCATGGTCGCTATGATACAACTTGGGCAGTCACCAGTTCTATCACACCCTATTGACGGCGACTCTTATGATAGGATTCTCTTGTGCATAAGATTACTATGCAGTACAGGTGATGAGGTCAGGAAGATATGGTTGCAGTCTTGCCGTCAGAGTTTTGTCAAAATGCTTTCAGAGAAACAGCTGAGGGAAACTGAGGAACTAAAGGCAAAGGCTCAGGTTTCTTATGCACAACCAGATGACCTTATTGATTTCTACCATTTGAAGAGCAGGAAGGTAAGAAAGATTTGAGTTTTTTTAGTTTTTAACTTGGAGTTTGCTAAGAGCCACTGCTAGTTTTGGTTATTAGTATTTGTTACTATCATTGATACATTCCTTGATAGTTGCTTATGGAAAAGTGATATTAATACTTGTTTTTGAGCTATGCTGCATTTTCCCCTTAAAACTCATGTAGCTGCATATTTTACATGATTTTTCTGATGCTGTGAACCAAGTCTCTTAAAAGTTGCTTCTTTACCCTTTCATTCTTTGAGAGTTGGATCTGCTTGATATTATTTAAGCGTCATTTTCATATAGACTGATTCAGTTTTAGGCATTAGTATCATTTGCTAGCAAAGATTCAATGCCAGTGAACATTTCTTGCTATGATGTTTTGTACTTCCAAGTTGATGTTTTCCTCATGTTTCAATGGTCAGGTCTCTTCATTTCTTTTTTTTTTTGGTTGAATATATAGGCAGTGCTTGATTTCAGATGCTGTTAAGTGATATCACGGTGATTTTCAGTTGATTAGTAAAATTTTCACATTAAGTGTTCCTGGCTTCATCTAAATTACAGGGTATGAGTCAGCTGGAGTTGGAGGATGAAGTTCAAGATGATTTGAAAAGAGCAACGGGAGAGTTCATCAAGGATGGGGATGATGCAAATAAGCTTAACCGCATTCTTCAGCTTACAGGATTCAGTGACCCTGTTTATGCTGAAGCTTATGTGACAGTTCATCACTATGACATTGTACTTGATGTCACAGTGATCAACAGGACAAAAGACACTCTCCAGAATTTGTGCTTGGAACTTGCCACAATGGGTGACCTGAAACTGGTGGAGCGGCCACAGAACTACATCCTAGCTCCTGAGTCTAGTAAGCAGATAAAGGCCAACATCAAGGTGTCCTCAACCGAGACTGGAGTGATTTTTGGCAATATTGTGTATGAGACATCCAACGTACTTGAGCGGACAGTTGTTGTCCTTAACGACATCCACATTGATATCATGGATTATATTTCTCCTGCAGTTTGTACAGATGCTGCTTTCAGAACAATGTGGGCAGAGTTTGAATGGGAAAACAAGGTACCACTGGCATTCCCTTTGGCTTGTTTATTTCTGTGATCTGTGTTGCATGCCTGCTGCAATGATGTAAGACTCTTCAAATTTCATTTGGCATGATCATGCAAGGATACAACCCTCACTTTTTTGAGTTACTGGGACATGAGTAACAATTTGCACAATAATATCCGAACTGCAGCATTCCATTTTTATATAATGATAGCCACTTGAATTGTGGTATGATGTAAAGCTAATATTCTTTTCTGCACAAGTAAAGCTTTAGTTAATTGGGTATTTAATTCTCTGTTCTTATTTTTTTGGTGAGAAAATGATTTCTTTGCTGGCCTCAATCTAAACTATCATCCCTTGCAAATTCTGTTGGTGGCTGGCAGTACTAACCATGTCTTTGTTATTGACTTTGATGTCATCACCGGCCTGAATCCTGCTTAAGGGATTGTCTCTAGACTGGATGTTTCTGAATTCAATCTCCATTCCTTATTCTTATTTCAGAGTTTCTGCACACTTCTCTTCTACATCAATTACTGGTGCATTTCGATATAT